TAGTAAATTTACAGTACCAGAACCAAAACATAGCTAACTAACATGTGTTATACAGATGCAATTCTAGATAACCAAACTGATATGAAGAATAATTTAACTTTGATGGTAAAACATTTCATTATTTGGAAAAACAATGGTTAAATTAATCGATATTTTTCATAGATCGTTTTTGAACCAACACTATTTATATTTAATCTTTCATGATGAAATGAATTCCAACAATAATTCAAGCAACATTAACTATTTTTTTGTGTATTTTGTAGAACAATACCAAGGCGATATGTCGATAACACGGCGTTACCACAATCATGCGACAATATATTTACTTTGTCGTATCTTTGCTGTAATATTTTAATCGTGCAGTTTAGTACTAAATTTGAGATGGGTGTGGGCACCACTTCGCCCAAATACATTATCCTCAAGATTTCCACCATGCAAAAACCGATATCTACGAATATCTCTGCTTCTGTCATAGTTAAGATCCTCAATTTTTGGTGCATAAACCTATATTTGAGGGTCCATGAAAACATATTCCATGGTCAACTGCAGAGTTCATTGGGAGAAATGCCCTGGGATTGATTCTCGATAAGGACAGTCATTCGTGGGTCCCTGTGTGGACCATATTACCGGTTACCTCCACACCCTGCAGTGAACTAGTCAAATGTAGCTACACGAGTCAAGAAGGGTTTGGTGATACGTGTTCATGCAGACAGAAAGGTACAATGGCAGTGCACTGAACTTTGCAATATTTCCATTGACTAGACTACATAAGAGCATACTTAAGTGAGTCTTCAACGTATATGCGCGTGTTTTTTGTCTGTGTTAATAAAAGGTTTTTACATTACGGTTATTTTGGAGATCCAAGATGGCCGCCATAATATATTTGGAGGAAATGGTATCTTTTCTGTGGTATAATTTTATACCTTAACCTGGAAATGTAGGCTTAGAAATCAAGATTACGATCCTAAGTGGTTTAGAAGCTAAGATATTGGTAGATATGGTCTTTGTGCTTAACAGAAATCAATAAGATCCAATATGGTCAAGTGGTGCCTATCAAAACTGGAAAGCTAAGGTAAAGGGCATAGCATCTGAAAAAAAGTGGCCACGACTTTTACCCACGACTTAAAGGACAATATTGGTGCCAGTCATTATCACATATGTGATAGAGCTGGTTAAACACATTCCAAATATAATTTTAACACAGAGATCATTGCTACGATAGCTGAGTAATACAGGTTTCCTGAATCGGAAGTGACGAACGCCAAAGGAAAACACGAGTCATACCTCTATATAACTGACTGATGTGACGAGTGATAACAGATAACACAGATACACGGCCGAATTTCTGCTCACTAATAATTCCTTGGAAGACCAAAAGTTTTTGTGTGAGACTGTGAGAGGATATCTGACAATTCATTAAAAGAATTGACTGCCACTAGATAAGAGGACACGAAAGAAAAACAAAAAGTCCGTGCATTACCATGTTTTTATAAGGTATAGACTGAATATAAACAAGGGAATGTACGGACTATTTCTATTAATCTCGTGTTCTCTTATCTAATGACATTCAACTGCTTTACTGAATTGTCAGTGGTATCCTCTTCCAGTCCCATATAGCAACTTTTGGTCTTCCAAGGAATTATTAGTGAGCAGAAATTCGGCCGTGTATCTGTTATCACTCGTCACATCGGGATTACTCGTGTTTTTCTTTGGCGTTCGTCACTTCCGATTCAGGAAACCTGTATTACTCAGCTATCGTAGCAATGATCTCTGTGTTAAAATTATATTTGGAATGTGTTTAACCAACTCTATCACATATGTGATAATGACTGGCACCAATATTGTCCTTTAAAGTAAATAAAAAAAACAACAACAAAAAAAACATACGCACTCTAAATAATCTTTTCTGAACATTAAATTGAGTATTCTATCGCCAATTGACTAAAGTCCCGTCTATCCAAGTATACCTGTATGGTGATATCCAGCTTTGCTACAGCTTGTTGTTGATATCCATTCTTTAATAATTATACGTGTAGTAAATTGACTATGGTTCAAGCATTCAGATTAATCTGCCTACGGTGAATGATTTTATGAGATTTCCAGAGGACATTAAATTAATAATAAAAACAATCCATTCGGTCTGCAATTGAAACTGTCTAAAAAGGATTGGATCCTAGTAAACATGTTTGCGTTGTCAAAATCTGTTTAAATAATGACCTTCCTGGATGACGAGGTTGGTTTTCACGAATCATGGGTAATAAGTGTGTATATTAAAGCCACGGGTCGTCATTTGCATTTTACGGGAAAATCATATTAGCCACAACTTAATCCGCGCTAATTAACATATAGTAAAGAAAACAAATTAATAGCAACAGATAATCTCCCACCTTGGATTAATATTCAACGGAACGTAAAGATGACGACGGTTTATTTAAAAGGGTTATAGAAGAAAGGGCCTAAACATTTTGGTTAAAAACCGACATAGCTCTGGGCAAATTCTACCATAGACTGGTCATAACTGCCATTTAAAAAATCAAAACAATCGGTTTCGTGTGAATTATTTAATAAGAATTCAATGATCAATTTTGACTATATTTGGGGTATTTTAAATTTTTACCGTTTTTTGTGTCCCATAAGCCAAGCGTAAATGATTTTATGTAACGGCAATTGACTGAAATCACATCTTCCAATCAGTTCATATTGCACCATGATTACTAATACTTCTATTAAATTAAAAACCATTCCAACCCCCACCCTATAATTAATCACCACAATTTTCTGTGTTGTGATCAGGAAACATGCGAAAGTGGAGAAATTCAAGCCGATCTAATAGATCTAGTATATTTCATTGGTAAAAGGGAAGTAACTGCAGATAGAATTGGCAACACAAATTATAAGAAATGAAATGGGATTTAACGTCCTACTGTTCTGCTACGAACTAGGCTAATGAAGACGGGCATACGCCATATACTCTTATATCGAATTCCAACTGTCAATGTGTACACGGGATCTCGGGTTTTCGTCCCCTCCGAACGACTAGACAGCCGTCCTTGTCAGGCCCTCCGTCACTGACAAGGGGGAACCACGCTGGAAAATCTGGATGACCTTTCTCGTCCACTGCAGGGATCGAACACCCGACCTCCAGGCTAGCGAGTCAGCGTCTTACCCACCGTGACCCCCAAAAAGTATAGGCCAACATTACATGGACTAATAATTATCACCCGTACCATAGGCCTACGTTGCATAGTAATGTGACCAGAAATTTCCAATAATCAAAAGGCACAACTACTCATAACTACTACATTATGTTTTATAAAGTTATACCAAAAAGTAAGTCAAATTTGTTTACATTGGCATTTTTTTCTCATTTAAACTGTAACATTCCCATTGACAAAAGGCACCAGAAGATATCCATGATTCATCCACTCAGACCCGAGTGGTCATTAGAAAATAGCACAATTACTATAATGGCTTCATATTTAAGCAAATCAGTTTCTTAGATAGATTCCAGAATAATAACTGTATACCAAAAATAATACGTTTCAATGGAAACACAATCATCATTGTATGATCTAAAAGATAGGTTGCCAGGCAACGAAACATCAGCCCACATCAGCTAAGTCGTCTGGACAGTCAACAAGGGTTGTCGCATACTCTTTTTTTTTCTTTTGTCGGTAATTAAAACATTTACAACACATTAAGTAATTATGAAAAAACATTAGAATTTGTTTGGCTTCTAGTTCTGCCCCTGCTAACATTTAGTATGCAGAACATGTAATTTAGCTGTCCTATTTATCAGAAATCGTTGAAAATCAAGGCCCATAACTCAGTCACAATTTGCTAGAAGCCATTGGATATAAATAGGCTTCGTTTTTCCATGATCTTAAAAACTGCGAATAAATTTAAAATCAATCGGATGATAAATTTGGTCTCGGAAGCGTCCACAAGATTTTTCAAAGTGATCTAGCAGTAATTATCGGAACTCTATGGGCTTCGTTGTCTCAATGACCGACCGTAAACATTGTGTACAAATTTAAAGTCAATCCGATAATAACTTGGTCTCTAGAGTACGCCATCAAGAGCAATAACTCTGAAAACCAACAGACATCTTTTCCTCTAGACCTTCAATACTGTGTATAAATTTAAAGTCAGTTGGGTGATAACTTCGGTCTCTACAGCGGCCACAAGATTTTTCAAAAATGTAAAGGCGCACAGCTCTGGTAGTAATGATCGTAAATCGTTAAAAAAAAATCGATAAGACTTCTTCGTTTCATGACTTAACCAATGTGAATAAATTTGAATCAGAGGTTAACCTTAGACTTCACAGTGCCCAGAAGATTTTTCAAAGTGATAAAGTTGCATAACTCTGTCAGTAATTAACGGAAACAAGTGAAAATCAATAGGATTCATCGTCTTATAACTTTAACCAATGTCTAGACTTTGAAGTCAATAAGATAATAACTTAAGCCTCAAGAGCGGCCACAAGATTTTTCAAAGTCATCAAGGGCCATAACTCTGGCAGTAATAGTTAAAAACAATACGCTTTTTCGCCTCATGACCGTAACCAATATGTATCAATTAAAGTCAATCGGATAATAATTTTAACCTCTAAAACGTCCACAAGATTTCTCAAAGTGGCCAAGAGCCATAACTCTTGCAGTAATTATCAGAGATCGTTGAAAATCAATAGGATTCTTGGTCTGATAACCACAGATAGTGTAGTCAACCGTATAGTGACTTTAGCCTCTAGAGCGTCCACAAGCAATTGTGGACGTCGGTTGCTTGTGGACGTCGGCAGGATGTAAAGCTATCTTCAGTAGTTCCTGATATCTCCATAAACGAATGCGGGGCGGATAAACGGATGGAGCCCAATTCGATATCTCTCCCTTCAACTTCGTTCTCCGCGGCTAATAAGTACCCCCTTGTAGACGGACAAAATGCGACAACAGCCATGCGGAAATACTGGGGACAGCAGGTATAATGCAACAAACAAAAACATGTTCTAGACAAATCATAAAATGTTTTTTATTTTTTCTTAATTAATAATGAATAGCATTATTATAAATAATCCGATTGAAAACGGAACCCACTGCCAAATACAATTCTACGGATAACAACTGATATCATCAACATATTACAGGACACAATTTAATGGATAACAAACATTATTGCTATAGACATTAACAGGACACAATTTTATGAATAACAAAATACTAGACATATAGCACAAATTTATAGATATCAAATACTAATGCTGTATACAACAAACACTAATGCTATAGACATAACAGGACACAAGTTTATGAATAACAAAATACTAATGCTACAGACATAAGGCACAAATTTATAGATATCAAATACACAATTCTATTGATAACTACTACTATGTAATATATATTATATTCAAAAGGATGATTTGACCGTTTTTATCATTTACCTAATGAAAAAGATCAGATCTATAGAAGCTTTGTTCTTACATTTTATGCCACAAATATTATCTGAATATTTTATAAGTTACAATCAGCTATTCTATAAAATTATAATAATTTTATATTTAATATCTATTGCAATCTTGAACATTTTTACACTCTACATTTAAAGTGTGAAAATATGAATCCATTCCTAAAAAGTAATAATATATGTCTGGAACAAATTTGAAAGAAACAAGATATCTAAAATCTCTCTCAAAACAAATTAAACTTTTAAATTAATTTATCACCATCAAAAAAATGAAAAATTATAAGTTAATTCTTACTTTTGACATCACAATAATTCATTAAAATATTTTAAACCATCGATTAGTTCATTTTGATTCTTAAAACAGATTTGATTCATATGTGAGATCAATTAAAGGACAATATTGGTGTCAGTCATTATCACATATGTGATAGAACTAATTAAACACTTTCCAAATAAAATTTTAACACAGAGATCATTGCTACGATAGCTGAGTAATACAGGTTTCCTGAATTGGAAGTGACGAACGCCAAAGGAACACAAGTCATACCTCTATATAACTGACTGATGTGACGAGTGATAACAGATACAGGGCCGAATTTCTGCTCACTAATAATTCCTGTCCTGTCAGTTAAACCGGCTTTGCCTCAAGTGAGTTGAAAAAAAAAAATTAATTTGCATAGTACTGACAGTGCAAGTTTTATTGTTCAATTGGCAAATTACCACACACTCATAAGATTTTGCCTCGTTGACTTTTATCTTTTCACAATGAGAAAATGCTCAAAATTGTAATTTTACCGGGATATAGAATTTTAAGTAAGACCAGTAAACAGGGGTGGATCCAGGAAATTTTTCACAAGGTTTCCCAGGCTACTGAGACAATGTGTTTTTTGGGGTGTTGGTGGGGAGGGATTATAAACAGAGTTATTGTTTTCCAAAAGGTGTCACAGACAGATGAACAGACAAGCACATTTCAATGATACTGTTTTCTCTGAAAGGCGGGGAGCAATTAATAAATCTGGTTTGTATACAACTTCATTGCTAATGACTAAATTATCTTGTAATACTGCATGAATAATTTAATTTGGACCCACCAAAATAATATCAGCTTATATGTTTGTATAAATTCTGAGCATAATAAACACAGTTTCCATATAAAGCAACATTTGGGTCCAATTCTTTTGACTTGCTTTCTATCCGTTTTCTTAAAGGTCTTGGAGTAATATGTGAAGTGTCACTGCTCTCCAAAACAGAACCATTATTTTTAATTCGGATGTTTGGATGCATCAACATCTGTTCATCCTCACAGTTCACAATGTGGTATTCTGAAGAGTTGTATATAGATTTTAGTCTCCTGTATTTTGAACCCTCCTTGATAGACGAATCTATGTTATTTTTACTTCCAATATTTACAGACTTAGTGTAAAGGGAGTTCCTTTCAATGGGAGTTCTTTTTGGTAATACTTCTACATGGCAACCACGTTTGTGCAATTTCAAGGGACTGCCAAAAGATTCATTTTTAACTGCAGCATGAGAACTGATGTTTTGTGATCGTCCTGGTAAATTATTTCTTGTCGAAGCTGTATATGAAGGTGGGCACTGGCCTGTGTCACCAGATGAATCAGAATCATTTTTAACTAAATCAATAGCATTCTTAGTTCTAACATGATAGTTATGTGACTTCCCAGTTGTTGTTTGGGAGGGACCAACAGCTGGGTGCCTATCAATAGACAACTGTGCTTGTCCATCTTTTCTATCAACGTCTTTGGTGTTTCCTAAAACAATTGCCTCACAAGAATATGATATCCTGGGCCTTTTAATAAAAGATTTTACTTTAGGTGTAATCGTCTTTTTATGCTGATTAGTTATTGTCTTTGAATTTGATTCTGTTGGGCCCAATTCTATGAAAGGTTCGTTTATAGCTGATTTGGATGAAGTAACTGTTTGGGACAGAAGAGGCCCTGAAAGAACTGTATTAGCACTTTTGTGGTGGTTCCGTTTCCTTGAAGCAACTACAATACCAGATTGATCCATTTCAAAAATATTCTTATTGTGTAGGCCAGATCGTTCACTGGGAGTAGCTGGAGATACTTTTGGGTCGCCATACATGATAGAGGATTGCAATGGGAATGTTTCTTGGGGTAAATTCCGTTTATGAAGTGTTGATGCTTCTTTATGTTTATTTTGTATTTGATGATCTGTTATTTTTGATCTATTATCAATAGTCAATGATTTTCCTTCATTTTCTATGAAAAAATATGTCCCTTCAATATTTGCCTCATCTGTGTCTGAAGAAGAATTGACTGCTGATGGTAGTCTGTCTTCTTTCATAATACTAAATGAAGAGTTTTCAGAATCAGATTCAAAAGCAGTATGTGTAATTGTGCTTTGATCCGCTATTAGGTCTTCTGGGTAAGCATTAGAATAAGTATTTTTTTGTTTTGGTGAGATTTCAGAATTACTTCCAGAAGAGCAGTGTCTCGTCAGTTTGTCTTTTGTGGAGTTCCTGGAATCTTTCAAAGAATTCGTGTGATATGTTTTGTGATATACTATGTTATCATCACAAAACTCTGAAGAAATCACCTGTCTTCTTGGGTACACTGTTTGGCCTCCAGAAGTATGTCCATCGGCAAAACATTGTTCATCTATTTTGTGGTTCTCTGAATATTTGTGACATCTTTTCTTTTGATCCATCATGGCATTTTCAAAATGATTTCGATGTAACTTATTTCTCTCACCAGATCTTGAATATGCAGCAGTATTCAAACAGGAATGTCTTCTGTTATTAATTGTTGAGTTATCACAAGAAGGTTTTGAACAAATTTTTGCCCTCTTGTCATCTCTTGAGTCACAATTTCCAAAAGCAAGTCCCCTTCTTGTGTCATTATCATCCCATTCAATAGAAGAACATCTTTTAAAGTCTTGGGAATCTCTGGTCATCTGTCTCTTCCTAACAGAATTGGTTCCTCCTCTTTCATTTTCCAAAATGTGTTTACAAGAACTATTCGAAAACATACCACTCATTTGTTGATTCTGGAACACTTTCATAAATGGTCTGTTTTCAGTTCTAGACTTTGAAGTTTGATCTGGTGAACTTATTTCTTCAGGTAACTCAATTGTTTGATCACAACACATTCTTAAGGTCTCATATCGTCTAAACTTATCAAATGATACTCTGCTACCAATTTCATTTTTATGTGCTTTGGGGTTTATATGGGAAGCACAGTTTAAAGAAATGTTTATAGTATCTTTGAAGGAGCCTAAATTAACACATATACATTTATCTGAACAGATGCCTTCTTCATTCTGATTAGGATTGTTTGTTGATGATATGTTCCTGGACGCAGGTACTGAATTGGATCTAATAATGCCATCATTCCCAGGACAGCAATTTCCTGAAACTTTGGCTTGCTTATCAATATCATGTTTCTTTGTTATATTTGATCTTTCAATTTTCTTGTTTGACACCTTTGGATTTGAACTGGTAACTTGTCTGCTGAGTATTTCAAATTCCGATTGCTGTCTGCCTTGCTCCATTAGTTCAACTCTAATTCTATCGTTATCTTCATCTTCAGGTACATGTGGAGAGAGCTGGTTAGTTCTTGTGTTACCATTGAATTCTCGAGACCACACTTGAAATTCTTCTAACAATTCATCTTGTCTATTAATGGGAATGAAAGAATTTGTGCTGCTGTTTGAGTGGGTATTTTGTTGAATTCTTGTCCTGCTTTTATTTGCTTTTGGTCTTTTGACGACTGGACAAATAACTGCTACTCTCACATCAGGCTCAGGACTAGATGTTCCTAGACATAGAAGATCGTAAGAGTTTGGATTTTGACGTCTAATTTCTGAAGATATTCTTGGGCGTTCATGGTAGAGGTCAGACTTCAAAGGAAATGACTTCTCTAAACAACCTTTGGGGAAAAAAAGAACAGAACTTTAGAAACACAGAATTTATTAGCTTCACAAAATTCACTAAGTTAATCCCTACTATTTTTCATATACAATCAAACAATTGGACTACACTTTAAATGTGTGATTGATTCCTGTCTGTAATATTCAATTGATCAAGAGAGATCCCTGACAAGATTAGTTCTAGCACAATGATTTTGATGTATAGTGAATAAAAAATAGCCTGTAAATATATCTTGACAATTAGGGCTGTAAAATTGTGTGCCCAACTTTAGCAATGAAAATAGTTCTGATGAATATATTTACACCACTGTTGGTTTCACATCCTGACTTTTCCTATTTGTCCAATTTATCCAGTTGTTTAATATACAGTTTTATTACATAAGAAATAAAGAATAAATGAACAAAAAATAAATTACTTTTAGCCTGTAAATTAACTCCCATATTAAATTCAGAGCCTAAAAATGGGTGTTGTAGAGCTTGTATTGGTGTCAATCGTTCATCAGGGTCATACTTCAATAAACCACATAAAAAATTTGCAAATGTGTAGTCATAGCAACCATTTAGATGTTTTAACAATATCAATGTTGCTGTAAAAAAAAAACAATGAATAAGAACGAAATAAACTCTTTTTCATTACATGTAAAATCATTAATATAAATATGAAAGGCAAAATAATTTGATTATAATTCAAATTTCAAATAAACAACATTCTCTTTGATATAAGAGATTAGCCCAACTTTAATATGAGAGACATCTATCGAGCAACCAAGAACAATACAAAATGGAAATTACAAAGTAACTTCATTGAATATTTATTGTTGAAACTGGGAATTTTCAAGTACACAACTCTGATAATTGTTATTGAGCACCAAATGGAATTGCACAATATTAAATTAACACCTTGTTTTCTGGAAATGGTGACCTTCAAATCATCCAATTAATTTTTAAAAATCTTTTAATTCTATTTTTTCATGGATGATAATTATTCTACTAACTACTACATTAAATGAAAAAATAACAAGCGGTTGCCATGCAAGATACGCCCACATTTTGCAAGAGATGGACAGAAAACAAGCTAAAAAAAAAAGTGATTTTTCGTACAATCAGGTGACACATAATCCAGGAAGTTACAATCAGATATGTGCAAATATCAAAAGGAATCATCAAAATGAGATAAAGATAGGTTGCCAAGCAAAGACACATAAAGTAATCAAGGGCCATAACTCTGGCTTCTTCATCTCATGACCTCAAACACTGTGTATAAATTTAAAATCAATCAGATGTTAACTTTAGCATCTAGAGCATCCACAAGATATTTCAAAGGGATCAAGGGCAGTAATTATCGAAAAATGTTGAAAATCAATAGGATTCTTCGTCTCATGATCTAAAACATTAGGTATAAATTTAAAGTCAATTGGGTATTAACTTTAGCCCATAGAGCGTCCACAAGCAATTGTGGATGCTGGACGGACGGATGAACTGGGTGACTACAATATACTACCACATTTCAATGTGGGCGTATAAAAATTCTGACCTCTAAGAGAGGGCCCACAACCTTGGTATTACATACTTTTACACTATTTGTGTACAAGGAGCGGCCATTTCGTCGGGCAGTTTCGGATTGATCTTAACGAAGTTCGAATTCAACCGTCATTGGGATATAACACTGATATATTGAAATGGTTTTTTTTAAAATTGGATAAAAATTGTGACCTCTAGAGGGTTCACAAGCTAAAAACTGGATTTTTTGTATAATGAGGGGTCATAATCCAGGATGTTACGATCCGATATGCGTGAATATCGAAAAGAACGGAGATCCTTGGGATATAAACATATATTTTAAGTTTCAACAAATTCGGACAAAAATTGTAACCTCTAGCAGGTCCACAACGTTGGTATTACATACTTTTACACTATTTGCGTTCAAGGAGCGGCCATTTTTTCGTGCAGTTTAGTTCCGATTTTTACGAAATTTAAACTCAATCTTTGGAAAATAAACACGTTTTAAGTTTCATCTAAATCAGATAAAAATTGTGACCTTTCGTACAATCAGGGTCCACATTCTATGAAGTTTCGATCTGATACATGCCAGTATCTAAAGGAACCAAGATCTTTTGGAGATAAACCTATATTTCAAGTTTCTTCAAAATCGGATAAGAATTGTGACCTGCAGAGTGTCCAGAAACAAATTGTGGACGGATGGATGGACAATGAAAATGTGAGGTATAAAAAGGCAGCATTTGCATTAGGACTACAAAATCTGTGCTTTCATCCATAGACTGAAGCGACAATTAATTACTGCTTGTAGATAAACTTGAATTCACCTTTGCATATATAGGTAAATTCTTAGAAAAACAATGAATACCGTAATCTTAATGTAGAACTTTGAAATGAGATGTTTGTGATAAGCCATTTAGCCACATGATTCTTTGACAAACTAAAAACCTCACTCCTGCATCATTTTTTTTTTTGGAATGATTATCTGACAAACAGAATATTTTTTTCTATGTGGCCTTGCTTTATTTTTGAAATAGACTACCAGTAATGCTCTAACTAACACTCAATATTAACTTACCGTCAGCTTGTTGATATTTTCCGATAAACTGATGAAATTCATTGTAAAATTTTCCTCTTTGAAACATATCCGACGGAAATGGTCCTAATAATTCTGATATCTATTTTTTTAAAAAAAAGGGAAATTAACAATTTCAAACATATAATTTATTACAAAATTGATAACAAAATAAATAAATTATTTCAATTTACATTGGCACAACAGAGTTTCCATATTATTAATCGATATTAACGCTTGTTTATATTTCATGCCAATATTCTCTCTTTGTTTTATATTTCATATAACATTCCCTCTATGTCTATATATCATAACAACATTCTCTCTTTGTCTATATTTCATGACAATATTCCATCTTTGTCTATATTTCATAACATAATTCCATCTTGAACTATACACAAAACAAGCTATGTAGTAATCATTAACCTCCCAAGAATAAACTTGAAACAGATTTAGACAACATTCTAATGTTTACCTTATTTAGAATATCATTTTTATTTTTACCATCAAAAAGTGGAACCGTCAGAAATAATTCAGCTAAAATACAGCCAAGAGACCACATATCTACTTCGGATCCAAATGGTATACCATACATTACCTGATATTATAAAATATAACTATTAAAATCATTCCATATAAATAAAAATAATATCTATAAAATTATCGTTTCATATCAAACTTGGCAATCAATAACAGAGATACTCAAACAGTTTACTTTTGGGTCAGTCTATACTCTATGTCAAATGGACCAAATACCAAGAAATTTGTCGGATGACACCCTCAGAGTGAGGCTGATGTCCCCTGCCAAAATCCAAAAGAAATCAGATAACACATATTAATTAATTGCACATTAATTATCTTTTTCAAAAGTATCAATTAATCAAACTGATTATCTATGCTTAGCCTAAGCATAAAATGTTCACTATCAAACTTCGGTTTTCAAGTAACTGGTAATGAGTGAAACTATACACTAAACTAAGTTTCATCACTCTCCATCAGTTAGAATCTTGTCCCAAAGCTAGTCTAATTAGAAATTTTATCACTCTCAGTTAATTAGAACTAAAGTTATCGTGGTCCCAGAGCATCAACCAATCAAATTGAATATCTCTGCTTACCCTAAGCAGAAAATGCTCATCTTCGAACTCCATCAAGGCATTGGTCTAATAAACACCTATACCAAGTTTAAACATTCTAGCTCAATTAGAAGGAAAGTTATTTTGTGACAGACAGACATTTTAATAGTCCCCCGATTTCTTCGAAAGGCGTGGCACAAAATATATCTTAGTTATAGTACATACAGACTTATGTAAAACTGCAAAGTAGTATGACTCTAACATCAATATTAACGGGTATATGGCCTTTTGAATCGGGGTACCCATTCGCAAGTCTTCAACCTACTATTCTATGACTTGATTTGGTGTATTGGTTTTATATCAGACAAAATTCTTAAAATTTGGAAATATTTGAAATTTGGTGGTAATGTTGCTTGTACATGTGTCTATCAATGGTAAAAGGCTCAACTTTGGTATTCCATTCATTTATTTTTTTATTTTCATTAAAATTAAACAGTAAATTATGATTTTTTCCATTTTTTGGCCGATATGAACGGATTAATTATAATTCCATCAATTGCCTGATCATCATGGAAAAGACCCTCTAAGAACATCTGTTGTGTACTTAACAATTATGTATCTATATTGGACAGGGAGGTTACTATTAATTTATAATTTATGATTCAAAATTCAAGATTTGTAACATGTTAATATAATTACACTTTTCATCCATTTGAAATGAACTCACTTCCAAAACTCTGATTATCATCAAATCTCAAGCTGTAAGAGCAAGTTCATTGATATGCATAGCTTCTATAACCTGTATTTTAATAGTTTTCCAGTAATCCTTAATTATGTACACTCTCCGTCCCATTTATTCAAGGGAGATAACCCTTTTATCATTTACTCCACAATTTTAAGACAGTCATTTATAGTAGTTGGCTCCCTTACATTATTTCCTGAATGTGCAAAATTCACAAGACAATAAACAACTGCCATGTTCGATATCGGGATTGGGAAAAATATGCTAGTTTTAGGGCGTGCAATTTGACGAGTGATTCAGAGAAAATTTTGGTCAATTTTTAAGACAAACGGTACCATCTGGCATATGTAGCCGATTCAGAACTCGAGTGTCACAGCCTATAGATTCTTTTGATCTTATAGAAGAAAACCCAAGATAGTCAACCCCCTTCCATATCTTTACGAAATAATTGTCATGTTGAGCGCTTTGTTGTCATAAAGATTAAGGTAGTCAGAATGTTTAAATAATGTTATAGCAGTCATTGTTTTTTTAGGTGCGCGATCGCTACTGAGCTCTGCTGCGCAACTGAATGTCGATTATCTCCCTCGCCTTAAAATTGAAAAATCGCTTTCCTTATTTGTAAATCATGGAAATATGTATTCTTTTTTTAAAAGAGTGTGAAAGACTCACATTCTGATCGCCATCATTATGAACATTTATTTGGTGTATTCGATTAGTGTATAATGTGATTGCACCTGGTAATAAAATTCCGATGAATATGTTGCTAAAAATAGATGGTGCCTATGCATCATTTTTTAATTTAACCAAAGTGTAAAGTAGAACTCTCACGAGACGTGAGAAATTACGAGAGATGGCACGTGAAAATTTCCATTGGGAATAATTTGGGAAGAAATAGATTATATTTTGATGGAATTTTCGAGTGTTGATGATTATATTTTGAATAGGGGTTATGTTTTTAAACAAAATTTATACAAGCTATATATATTTAGAAATGTCGACAAGTATTTCTATTGGAACATCGAAAGTAGTTTAAGACGATACCAAAAGTTTGAATTGACAGTACAACTACTAGTGCTATTATTTATTATCATTTATGTAACCAGGAATGACCCCTGACATGCAGTTTTTGATCTTCAGAACCATTTCCCATACACACAACTAATTACTCTCCTTAATATCAGACCACGCTTCTTAATTTCTAAATCACTATTCTTATTGAAACTGTGAAAGTTTTTTTAAGGGAGCGATTTTTTCAGTTTGTTCAATAAGGGGGGGCTTTATTCGGCTCTCCTCTAAAATACAAACAACAATGACTGTTACAGGCCAAGAAATGGCATGATTATACATTGTGGTCAATGTGGAGAGGCTTGCTTAACCAGTCAGACAAGAAAACTGGAGTTAACTCCCTTACATTTCCACCCATATGGCTTACAGGGCCTACACTATTAAATTTAGAAATACTCAAAAAAATAGGGAGTGTATCCTACCTCTGGTGCTCTATACAGAAGGGTCTGAAGTTCAAAGTTCTGATAATACAAGGAAACTTCTTTATGTACATGGTGAATAGCATTACCGAAATCTATCACTCTTACAGAATGCATGTCATCCTCTAGGGAATGAAAAATAAAACAATTAATCCAACACATACAAATTAGTAATATCCATTTCTGTAAAACACAATAATTCATCTACTCACCATTTTGAAGAAGAATATTTTCAGGTTTTAAATCAGCATGTATCGTATTTTGCTGTTTGAGACAACTCAATATTTGTAGTAGTTTGAACGTTAATTTCCGTATTTCACATAATTTCTGAAATACACAAACACAATTAACCACCAATAGAAGCCTGATGTTGTTGGCTGTTTATATTTTAAAATAAACCAAACAATAACAAAAAAGACAAAGTTCTAGTCTATTTTTAAAGTATACTCATCCTGAAGTCACCATCTTAATTTATTGTATCTGTTCATTTAAAGCTTGATTCTTGATATAAAGTATTTACACAGCAGTCAAGAGGTGACTCTAAATAATGCGTTGAATATGCCATAAGTTCAATTTATATCCACTGTCAAAGTCAGTAGAAAGAGGGTTACTTATTAAGATAAAGATCAAATTCAATATCATAATATACACAGTAATAATTCAGTAACAAACCTTTGAAACACTCCAAGTTTTGTTTGAAAAAGTCACTGTAATTGGCTCAGGATTCAAAGCTTCAAATACCATACAAAAATGTGGACCATATTTGAAAGTTGTCTGGATGAGAAAAGAAATAAGAAATTCAACACTTCTGAAAAACATAATATCCTTTAACAAATTCAATTATTTATCACAAATTCAATTGTCTATCACAAATTCAATTTTTGCCATCTGATGCAAACTTTGTTACTGAAATAAAAGGGCTAATACCAGTACTTGAAAATATCTATAAATAAATCATACCGGGTAACAAATGTTGATACATGACTTGGTGTATTGACAACCTGAAGAACTAAAGATGTGCACTGGTTTTCAAGAGTTTAGCAGTATATGCTTACCTTTAATCTAACTATATGTAATGAATTGCAATGATCTGTTGATTGTAGACGTAACAAACAATGTGTTTCCTGTATACCTATCTTATAATATACAACATGTAATATTTTTATTATCACATCCTCTTCCTCACCATATAAATCCTGAAAAAATGTTTAATAATAATGAAAGCTTGGATTTATGGTTGGTTGGGAAACAGCGAAAACAGAAAAGTACCTGTTACTCCTTTTACCATGAATGGTAAGATTTACATCATTCTAGTATTCAATATACAAAGAGCTCCCAAAAAGGATATCCGCACCCATCGTTAACACACTACTTCTGTCAGTTTGCGAAAACATTGGCCTATTTTTAATAGAATAAAGATCCAATGTCCACACAGGAACCCAGATGGATATATAGTACACCAACCGATGTTACGATACCAACTTGGATTACGATAAAAGGAGGACAGGGGGCTTTAGAGAGAATACATGGTTATCTCTACCTTAGCTTTAACAATAACTGCTGATTGACCCTGAGATTGCAATGTTTTCTTGATTTGATATCTATTTGCCAAAACATCATCAATAACTGGCTTGAATCTTCCCTGTTCATCTGTTCTATTGCTTGAATCTGCAAAATATGTTTAGTAAAATATTATTAGTTGGCCACAACTTGGCCAATTAAAATGTTCCAAAGGTTCCTGAGTACAGTCTTCTAACACAAAAAAATAGCTAGCAAAGATAGGTTGTCAGGAAACAAAATATAGTCTATTAGCAGCTTAGGCTTCTGAGCGGTTATTTATAAAAGTTGTCACTACTTGAATGTTTTGAAAAAAAAATTCTCTACAACTTTTGACCTGCAGAATGTTTACAAGCAATTGCTAACAAAATGACTGGTGCAATAGGGATCTGAACTGTCTAAGCAAGTGACTTTTGGGGATTTTTTTTTTTTTTTAAAATTGATAAGACTGACAAGTTCTCTAAAACTACTACTATCACCTGTAGAGTGAAATCCATATTCTTACTTTTTGATAATTCATCCAATTGAATAGTGAAACAAAGGGATAAATAGACAGGGGCAACAACATACAGCCACATTAACATGTGAGTACATATATATAGATCAGTAATTACCTATGTAACATACACTGTATGATTCAATGGCCATCTGGGATCCAAAATAAATCTTACAGAATATTACTTTAATGGTACAAGTTGGTAATGAAATGATGCGATAGAAAGTTTAGTTTGACATAAATGGGGGATCACGTGGCTAAGTGGGTAAGACGCTGGCTCGCTAGCCTGCAGGTCGGGTGTTCGATCCCTGCATTGGCCGAGAAAGTTCACCCAGATTTTCCGCCGTGGTTTCCCCTTGTCAGTGATGCAGGATGGAGTGGAGGGCCTGACAAGGACAGCTGTCTAGTTGTTCGGATGGGACGGAAAACCGAGGTCCCGTGTACACATTGGCATCACGTAAAAGATCCCTTAGCAGTTGGAATTCGATATAAGAGTAGGCCATAGCGCCGCTGCCCGGGCAAAATTTCCCTCATAGCACACTGTATGGCGTATGCCCGTCTTCATTAGCCCAGGTTAGGAGCAGAACAGTAGGACGTTAAACCCCATTTCATTTCATTTCATTTCATTTGACAGAAATGGAATGAAGAAGACTATTTAGTATTTGCAAACATAATGAAGTAGAGTTAAAACATTGTATGTCAAATTTCATATTGTGAAGAATCCACTTTGCAAAACTTATATTCCAATTTTTGTTTTCACACCCCTAGTAAAACATGTTTTGTGACACTGAAAATCAATACTGTCATAACTTACATTGGGTACCTTGACTGTTACCAGTACTAATCTGTTTATAAAGTCTGTGTAAACCTACAGTTGCTTGGGTAACAAACTGTTTTTCCACTGGATCAAGGTGTACCAAATCATCTAAAGACCTACAAAAATTCAAGTATAAATCAGGTGAAAAGATAGCAATAACTCCTGAGAAATATTACCTCCCAAAAAATGATTTACATGTAGGTATGAGTATTAATGTTCAGAATCAAATTAGATTTTAAACTTTATTCAATTATAAAACTTAGCTCAAACATCTCCCAAGAGAAGACTTACTAGCATTCTAAGAATTTTAATAACAGTAGATTTGATGGGACAGATTTGATCATGGAATCAGGAAATCAAAGTCATATGGCGAATCAAAACACAATTTTGCATACATAATGATATGGTCTCAAAATTTTTCACTATTTTGTGTTTTGTTTGGATATTAAAGCATGTGTACGGGTTCTGTTATTACTTGAGTTCCTGAAGGTATGCGCATATCCAAGTCAAAGTTTTCCAAGGAATGTAGCAGTATTACTAGCAGAATTTAGCAGGTGGCAGCAGAATATGAATTATTTTAGTAGACTAATTAGGTAATATCTTTTATACTTTGGACTTAAACTTGTCATATAGGAGATATCTAGCAAGTGGCAGCAAAATATTAAATTATAGTGTTATTTTCCTCAAAGTCATTCCATGGAATACAGCAATATTACGGTAATAGAAGAAATCTAGTAGGTGGCAGCAAAGCATGAATTATACTGTAGACTACACATTGAATAATTAGGTAATATCATTTATACAATGGACTTAAATTCAAAGAGATATTATTACTTTCACCATTTGACATAATGCTTATTGATATACTATTTATATGTGTATCAAAGAGTAGACCAAACATGCCATAAAACTTTCATCCCTACATTAATGTTCAGAATGTCACGGATTATCAAGGGAGGGAAAATGAAGTAATCTTAAATATTTCATTAGTACAAATGTAAATGTTGTTATTTTCGATTTCTTAATACTGGTTACAACAACAAAATACCTTCATATCGTTGTATTTGCCTTTTTAACTGATCGTATAATTCACACAAAACAACCAAAGTTTACAAAAGTACCCAATCTGATTAAAATACAGATCTATATTTCGTTTCGTTTTTTTATACTTTCGATGGCCTACACTACATGAAGATCTGACAAGTTATAGCCATAGGTCACGTTAGGGGTCAAAAGACCGACTTGTGACCCTATGACGTCAGACATTTGATTAACCAATCAGCATTGACGTTACTAGTGGATTACCCACAGTTCCATGCAAAAAAGTTCAAACGCTCGATTCGACAGACCATTTGATTGGCTGATCCCTCATTTCAAGCAGAACGCGAGTTAAATAACAACACTTCCAGATCCAAGTGTAGTAATATAAAGACAAGTAAAACAAAATTTTGAACTATAAAAACAAAACGAAATAGGATCTGTGTTTTAACCAGATTGCAAAAGTACCCATACATTTCATAAAAAAAAAAAGAGAAAAAAAATTGTGTAGTCCAAAAACGTCTTAAAGTAAAGGAGCCTAGATATTATAATTTAGTTTGATAAATTTTTAATTTACCTACATTTATCAATATATTGTCAGACATGTCTTTAGTCTTGTTTACGGCTATTTGGAGGGTTGAAAGAAGGATAGGGATAATCATACTTCTTGCCATGGTTTGTCTGATAAATCTACAATCAATGCTTGAGTTTTGTGTCTAACTAGAACGCCTGTAGTCTATGAACCAATTCAAAAGCTTTCTTCGGGTTCTACTTTCTGTTATAAAAATGGTGACGTATTTAGCAGCAATTGTCAATCAATTTTTTTATAACCGTATATAAACATAATAATGGATCTGGTTAATGGTGTGTTAATTTGTCAATGGTAACTGACTGCTTGTTAAAGCATTTCTTAACCAATCATAATTTGCCAAAGAAACTGACGTAAAATCCAACAAGGACAAGGTTAACATTTCAAAGAAAAAGGAATCCATGACACATGACACATAGTTTTACATACTTGACACTCAGATTCTTTCTTAACCACCTTATTATATAGATCAGTGCCAAACCTGACAAATATCCATTTTTTTTTTTCAGCCCATACCAGGTTTCAAACTTGAGAGTTCAGTTCCCAAACCACTCAATTATAAATCACAGCCTTTGACCTTTCAATTTCAATCCCATACTAACAACTAGGCATTTTTTCCTTGTAAGCCCTGCCAGTTCCACCCCTGACAAACATCCAGAAGATTTTTCTCAGTCCATACTAGGATTCATTCAAACTTCAGAACTTGATTGAATTTCTATGCAATGCCAGTGAAAAATTTAATAATAGTATATACAGAACACTTATCATTCAAGATACATTATGGGAGATTAGATAACGAGTTGGCAGTTCTCACTATAATAGTTAAAAACTACATAATGTAAAGGCAACTTGCTGAAAATATCAGTCATATTGATCCACTATGAACCGAGAACTAAGCGGATGAAAGTTCCGCTTAGCCTCGATCATCATTACTGAAGTCGATACGACAAAACTAATAGTCTTGATTATCCATTTAATCGTTAATCACGAAGGAAAGTTTTGCAGCAAATCGGACTGTAATTCAACAAATATCGCAGGCAAGCCTTGACATCAAGAGCTGATTATGGTCTGGATAAGTTAATTAATGTCTAAGTTTTTATAACATTTCAGGCCTAAAGAATGACCTACAATAGGCCGATTTTGCTCTTGCATAATGTATGTTTAAGCTTACATTTTGTATGTCGTTTTTTTGTTTAGTGCACAATGTGCATCTAAATGTATGTGTAAATGACTTATAGTTTATAGTAAGGGCAAAGATCATACATCTTTGAAAAAATAAATGATTCAGCTCTTGAACAGTGTCATGGCCAGATTCTATGTGAAAATTCTCAAAACCCTTTAACCCTTTGGATTCCATACTTTATTAATACACACACACACATATGTAACATTATTCTCAAGTCATCCCCAAGAAGGATTCATATTACCCTACTCCTAGCCCAGTGAATTACTGTACAATATATTAAAACAAAACACATAACAGCTGTTTCTTATTATCTCCAATGAACAGGCGAAGTGACATCACATGACGTCACTGACATGCCATGACATACAGCTTACAGTCGGTAGTCACTAAGGCCATAGATTTAACTGTAGTTGGGTCAATTACACTAGTATCCTGGAGACAGCAATCACTCAATAAGCTTCTAGACTTAATCAATAAAATTTTCCATTAATCTCCAGTCTAGTAGAAACAAATAGGTCATTTTGAGACTATCTGATAAAGAAGATACTGGCATCATAACATTGGTAGCTAACTGCCTATGTTCTTGACTCCAATATTAATATAAAAACAGTAATACAAATTAATGTCAGAAAAAGGAAAAATTTCACTTTGAAGTTGGAAAATGCCAGTTCTTTGCTTGCCTGACCGCTGGGTCCTCTGATTTTCTCCCACTGCTAAAGAGTAAAGTCCTCAACACACACAAGCGAATTATTGAAATAATTGATTGAAATTATCATAACAAATGTAGCAATGAAAATTGAGACTATTTTTATTAAAACTTCACACAGAATAAAGTAATTTCACTGAAATTTTCAATATTCCTTTTCTATTATTATTTTTAAACAATTGTAGCAAGAACGAGCCAGCTCTTTTTCTAAATCTTACATAATGCTTCTTTAAGAGAAAGTTGAACATCTACTCGAAACAAACCAGATCATTTTTGGGACTAACATGTAGCTTAAAAGTTACAACTTTATTTCAGTAATTCACTTTCGTGTGTAGGAGTCTTTCCTCTTAAGTAGTAGTCTCGATTATCATTACAAAATGGCAATTATGTGTCAATCCATTAAAAATCACGACCATCCAACGATCTAGTGAGTTATGTGAATAATTATTAAATGTCATAGTTATATTTTATGTAACATTGGAGGCCAAAAGAAAGGCCTGCAATAAGCAGATTTAGCACTTACATAATGTAAATTAGATAATCTACAATCTAAATGTAAATATCAATCTGAAAATTTGGGACAAACACGGATTTAAATGGATTTTAATTAAAAGTTTTTTTTATTGTGTAAAATTATTTTTAGATGTAGAGGTAGCAAAATTTTTTTTTTCTTACCAATTGAATAATACCAAATAAAATGTTAAATAATTTATCGGAATAATCTATCTTACTTCATTTTGTAAGCCTATTTTTATGATATATTGATTTGAGGACTGGTGTAACAGTTTGGTATAAATCATTATTAAATTAAATGAGGAACAGGGCATCAATCCCCAGCTTTGGCAGCAACTCAAGAAAAACATGAATGAAAATTGAAATAATCTAGATAAGTTATCAAATGAATGATGCTGTAAATTGTAATTTGCTATTCAAGACCAATCAATATTTTATCTGCAGACAATAGTCTGATCTACAACACTCTGTTGCTAATCCTAACTAAGAGAACCAATTCCAGTCATCCAATACTGATGTAGGCTACAGGTTTATTTATAGTAAACAATTATACCAGTCGACAACGTGCTTTTGTTGACATTCGTCTGGACCGAGTCTGGGCTCTTGCCGAAAAAAAACATACGATTTGAGGTGAACAGTTTGTCCCTGACCCAAGTAAGCTGCATAATATTAATTTTGTGGCTAAGCTAGCAACTACACATACCGGACAGTCTTACAGAACGCGCTTGTGCGCGGCATTTCCAATCACTATGGCCTCGGCAACAGTCGGTTCGCGCGAGCAATATCTATCTTGAACTCGCCCGCCATTTTCTCGATACAGTTAACCTGTCAAAGGTCGCATGCAAATGAGATCACGTGAGGTGAGAGGTTATGTTGTGTTCCAGTTGTAAACAAAAACCGCGTGCACGGTGACAGAACGTATTCAGATTAGATACGCGCGAAGTGATAGAGTGATAGCTCGTGACTACAATTGCAACGTGTATATCGTTTATAACAGCTATCGCAATCTGATATTTCATTTCTATAAAACATTTTGGAAATTCTCGAAAGGGACAGACGGGAGTTGAACTATCACGTGTGATATGGAGTGGATGCATGTTCAGGCACGTTCTATTATTAACGTTGACGATTGGATAGTTTTACTTGTGAACTGATTACGTCATGTTTCCAAACACAGAACTACTATAGGACTACGAGGACATTCCAATGTGCTACAAAATAGCTCTAAATTGGTGCTAATAAGACGTTTTTAAGGTAAGGCTTAATTCTCGTCCTTTTTATTCAATAAATGATAATATAATATTATCATTCCATCTAACCAATTACTCACTAAACGTCAAGGGGAAAGCGAGTGACTTTACGCGAGTGTTATGTTTTATTACACCGTGTTATGAATCACCAAACTGCAATGTTTACATTTGCAGTTTGAATAATTTCTAGTGGCTCCTTAGTTAAATACGTAGGCGTCGTCGCATCATCCATTAAATGACAATAACGAAACAATCATAAACTTGGTTTGAAGACGCAACAGGTTTGATACCATATTAGTACATGTGTATAATATGACCCAAATTGATCCAGTTTTTTTTTTGCAAATTTGGTAGACGTGATTATAGAAAAAAAAAAAATAATAAATTAAATTTAAACTTCATTATTACATGATTTTCATATTTTCTCGTAGTCTGAAAAGTTTGCGAAACTTTTTTTTTATAATTGTTTTGATTACAAGTACATAGTAAATTGGAAGTACTTGATATGTAAGGTTTGAAGTTAATCTGTTCATTTTTAAAGGCTATTTTTACAATTCATTTAGATTATGGATATTATAAAATGGTTTTATAATATTAATATTATTCTTTCATTATTAGGAAACCTTCGGGGAAAACTTAACATAATCATAAAATAACATCAGCATAAATTATTACTATCAATAGCTTATGACTGCGTCTTTGGGCGTTGCCCCGGAATGGAAGTTCGCCACAACACTTAAATTAGAGACATGACTTTTAAAACTACATTTATTAAGTTGTATAATCGCCTTTGAACCCAACATTCGCTCATTCTAAAATTGGACTTTCTGGTTTTTAATCTTTGGCTAATTTTAGACAGCACGTGGTAATCTCGCTCTTGTGTGTTTATAATTGTTGATGATTTTGAAGAACTTGGCACGTGGTCATATATTGTTGTATCAAAAATATATAAACATTGATTATCTAAGTGATCTGTTTATACTTCAGTTTTGTCCATACTTAGACATATAGTATTGTGTTCTACATTGATGACCATAGGTTTTTTTTATTAGTTTTAGATCAACGTTTTGCGTGCTTCACAACCAGTTCCAGTTATTTTATTATCATCGTTTCATCATCAGTTTATTTCTTGTTTAATGAGGTTTTTTTCATAATCAGACTGCTTATTGTGAAATTAATGCAATACTTTTTGTTTTCAGCGAAAAGATTATTTGTGACTTTAAAGTAAATTTGTGAATAGTGTGTGCGATGGATACAAATACAAGTGAAGAGAAAATACGTAAAGAAAGTTCAGGACACGCCCAATCATGTTTGACGCCAGGAGATAAAAAGGGGAATTCCCCTGCACGTGACGTCCCGAAATCTACAGCGAGCATACCCCGATTCAGTGGAATACCCGTGGACAGAAATTCTCCTCTAGCCGGAGGAAAACGTGACTCTGGATATATAACAGATAATTCCCCAGCCCCTTTCTCTCATCACGCGCATTTTACATTTGACGAAGAAGACAGTCAAATTCAAGAGGGGGCTGTTGGGGGTCGAACCCGCTCCGTATCATCTAACGATATACAACGTGACGAGTTAGAAAATTCTGAACTTTTATTTATGGAAGATGACGAAGAGGGAGACGATTCTCCCTTTATGGACGAGGTTGATGGATTGAGGGACGATATGAATGAAGAGAACGAACGTGATAGTGAGACAGTGCGGAGAAATGAAGTATTATTAAACAGACAATCATCATTACCTATGGCTGTGCCTCTTTCACCGCCAATAGCTAATATAGCTTATATGAATGGAGTACCGTCACCGTTTTTATTGCCAGCTGTAGGAACAAATGATAGACGATTTAACAGAACAGTTGCTACCCAAACACCGCACATCTTATCACAAATGGTGCATCATGTTTTAACGGATCCAGTTATGACATTACGAGTCCGAGGTAAGGCAATTCCTTTCTTATTTTTAACCAATTTTGCTACGCCACACCCACCTGCCGTAAAATAAATAGAACCTTCACGACGGTTGGTTTTGTTGAGGTGAGGGGAATTATGTTGTAATTAAATTCGTAAATTTTTCTGATACAAGTTTGAGAAAAATTAATTAAAGATATACTGTATTACAACATTTAGCGGTTTTATGTACATGTACTTTGAAGTAGAACGAAGTATTATTTAACAAAACATTCACAATTTGCTGTTTAGAATGTACATGTATAATGTACGACATGTCAAAATTTAGAAGCATAATCAACAATAAGTTGTCACTGTATGTACAATGGATTTAAGCATATTCATTTAACAAGAGATCGTTCACCTCGGGTATAACGAGATTAAATAGCACAATAATAATAATTCAATATACATGTATTGTATGTATTTTTAATTTTGATCAAATATCTAACTACGACTTTATCGAACCACTTTGTTATAAAGGCGTAGTTTCGGGTGCCGTGTGTGAGCCAGGACGTACTTACGTTTTCTAGAACACCCGGTACCACTACTACTTCTCATCTGTAGATTTTTTTTTATTGTAGTTTTATGCTTTTTTAAAGATATTTTATTTGCATGTTGATAATAATCCATAACCGTATCATGCATCGGCTGGGTTATAAATACTTGTGAAAGTTGCAAGGTAAATGTTAAGTTTAATTCAACAGAAATAGTCTGAAAAAAAAAAATCGCAATTAACACAGTTATCAAGAACGACTAGACAAATAACGGTAAATCTAAAAGGGCGACCACTCTGGCTGTACTGTAGAATCAATTTATCGTCTTAACAGCGTCATTGCGTATTTTCTGCCTGATATCTGAGTTAAGCGGCTGACTGAATACTTTATTTTGTGAACTATTGTTATTTATTACGTCGACCTTCTACAGAGAAACTAATCAAAACAATATTGGTTTAAAATTAGAAACCATGATAGTCGTGTTCGAACTGCCTTTCGATGTATAGAACGTTATCGATGATTTGACAACCTACAACAGACCGCGATAACTGACCCACACTTATAGGTTTTTCTATTTCTACATCTGATTCAGCAATATTGGGTCATGGTCTCCATGTAACAGTTACCCAGATGTTCATTTTGTACATGTATTGGTTCGACATAACGATGCCTCATTGTTATTTGATTTGAGTAATGATATCAACAATTATCGTATTATTTAATTGAGGTGAACATTGCTGAGGACAAAACAAGTGTGTTTATCTATTTCGGATAAATATGTATGTATGTTTCACCGCGTAATTGAATTCCAACTGGCAATGGTTCTTTTTCGTGAGGGCCTGGTAAGAAAAATGCGTCTAGTCGTTCGGATGGTACGTAAACCCGAGGTTCCGTGTACACATTGGCGTGCACGAAAAGAACCCCTTTGTGCAGAGATATAAGACTTTAAACCGTTATTAATTTCAATTCATCGCCTGGTATTTGTTGTGAGAATGCACGTGCTTAAGTAGTTAGTGGCGTTTGAAGATTGTATATTTGGAGATTTGCCTAATATGATAAATATATTAACAGGGTGTGTATTATGACTTTAACAGGCAGATATATCATATTATATAACTTGATATAACATGCTTTACTTGTCTGGTGTACGTATTATTAAAGATACGTTATTCAAGAGCTAAATCTGCCTATGGCATGTCTTTCTTTAGACCTGAAATGTTATATAAACTATTAATTAGACATTCATTAACATGACAATACCATAGGATATCTCCGATATTAAGTAGAGTAGAACGGTTCAGCCATGTTTTGATTTAATTTTAAAATGGAGAAGCGAGACTTAGCTACGAACAAGTACGGTGGTTGCAATTAAATAAAGATACATTATGGGAGATTAGATAAAGGGCCGGCAGTTCTCACTATAATAGTTAAAACTAGATAATGTAAAGAATATTTGCTGAAAATTTCAGTCAAATTGATCCACTCTGCATGAACCGAGAATTTAGCGATTGAATTTTCGGCCTAGCCTCGATCATCATTACTAAAGTCGGTACGATAAAAAACATAGTCTCGATTATCCATTTCATGATTTAATCATGAATAAAAGTTGAGCAGCAAATCGGATCCTACTCCTGTAAATATCGCAGGCTAGCGATGACATCGAGAGTTGATTATGATCTAGATAAGTTAATTAATTTAGATAACATTTCAGGCCTAAAGAAAAACCTGCAATAGGAAGATTTAGCTCTTGCATATAATGTATATTTAATGCACACATCTAGTTAAACCTTCAAAGGCAAATATCTTCGCTCGCAATAGATAATTTGAATGAAATTATCAATTTTCGAACTATAATAGCATGGGTAGCTCTTTATCTAAATCTTACGTGATGCACCCTTAAATTAAAGGCTATAGATCACATGCATAAACTATATCGATAATGTAGATCGAATCCCTGGATTTTTCAAGTCCGGTTACTGCTGAGGTGGGACGAAAACCCTGGGTCCACTATCCGCCATTGTACATAATGGCGTGTGCGTAAAAGAGTCGTTGTTAGTTGGAATTTGATTAAAAGTACCTGGAAACGACGCTGCACGGACAATATTCCATGCCTTAGCATTGCATACAATGACACGACCATTTCCTTAACGTACTAAAGCTTTTCGGGATTTTGGTGTATCCGTCAGCAGAACATGTATATTTGATCTACTTGCACCAGGATTAAAACACTAATTGCGGACATATCTTCTGTTACTGCAACTTGACAATCTTTTCCTCAAAGTTAAATATTCATGTCGTCGGTGTCATTCCAAAATCTGTTTTGCATAATTTAATTCATTAACATAAAATGTAAAAAAAATCAGAGTTCTGTGATAAATAGTTCCCATTTTATTAGCGTGTGACCAAACCTCGTATCACAATCATTGGCCTGATTTTGTTCTTTTCTAAATGCTCGTATCTCGGCAACGTATTATCGATGACGATGTTAAAGGCCTTAAAGCGGTGTATATGATAACAAATCGCAGGATAATTATTGTAATAAGATGTGTCATAGTAGGCGTAATTTATAGGGAGTAAATAATAACATTTCTTTATTGTTTTTAAGGTGTAGATTATCTATTTTAGCAACAAAATAAGGCAATAGCGATACCAAGTCATTACTACCGGGCAACGTCAAATGAATCCTATTTAGTGATTTTTGTAGTTTCCAATCAAACAAAATTCGCGGAGTCAGTCTACAATTCTCATATTGTTGTCAACACCCCTCAAGTAAGTTACCCCACAGAGCATTTTGACCTATCTGTGAGCAGTACCCCTAAAATAAAATAGCCCACTGAACAACTAAACCTACCTGTTGGCCATGCCCCTCAAGTAAGTTACCCTACTGAATAACTGTATCTAACTGTTGGTCATACCCTTCGCGTAAGTTACCATACTGATTATCTTGACCTACCTGTGGACAATAACCCCCAGGAAACTTACCCGATTGAATATCTATAAGGCCTACCCGTGGTTAATACCCCGCGAGTAATCTACCCTACTGAGCATCCAGACCTACCTGTGGGCAATAAGCCTCAGGTAACTTACCCGACTGGGTGCGAGGGCCTGGCTGTGTGCAATACCCGATTGTGCATCTAGACCTACCTGTGGGCTGTACCCATCAAGTAACTTATCTATACCTACCTGTTAGGCAATAACCCTCAAGTACCGTACCCTACTGGGCTTTTAGGCCTACCCGTCAGCGGTATTCTTAGCCTAACCCGGCTTCAATATCCTTCAAGGTAATGATCTTCTAGATCTACGTTGCATCTACACCTACCTGTTGCCGAAATTCGCACGTAACTTACCGTTCCTACCTACATGTACCTACTGAGATATCAACTAGGGACTGGTGTAATACAATATGATATCCCTTCATTTGTATGCCCAATTTACCTCTAGCAACGCGAAAACAAAAGCTCATACATCACACAGTTCTAGTACAGAAACGTTCAGAAACCTCATATGTCGTAAGAAAAAATAACAGATTTGGGGGTGAAAATCTTAAGAACGAACAGATGACAGTTTATATTTGCCAGAACATTTTTTTAAATGTACAAAAATAAAATTTTAAACAAATCCGCCAAGTATCTGAAAAGTTATGAAGTCTTTTGTTTCTCCTAAAATTTTGTTGATCGGGGTTTCAGAATGACACCGACGATGTATAAAACATGAATGCACATATCTGGGATTTTTTTCACAGATTTATTATTTATTCGGACTTGTGCAAATGCACATGCAACATTTTAAATCTGTTCAGAATATACATGTATTGCTACTAAACACACTAACCTAGATAAAAAAAAAGCTACATGTACATAAAAACGCCAACCAGTCATGTACTATTTATAACCGAAATACTATTTTAAGTATACACATCCAGTACAGCATAGGCTGCTACATGTAGTAAAGAGATTACCCGATTTTCTAATCTAACGACGCAAAAAAAAGGGAGTAACCAAGTCTACATTATGTCTTGTGAAGTTTTATATACACGTATACCTACCTGTATTCATTGATAATAAACGATTATAGAGTAAACGTAGGGGAGTGTTTACTATCTCCTATGCCTTCAGCTTGTATGTACAATAAAGAGAAACACGGCCAGGGTAGCATACGGAGAACTCCCTCAGTCAAGCTAGCACACAATAAGCTGACAGACAAAAGTCGGGTTGCCAGTTAGTGATAACGTGACATTTTTGCCCAGTGCTTGCCCCATGGATTTTTTTTCGAGTAATCCAGTATTTTTCTAGTAAGATTGGGTTTCTATACTTTCCATATATACCAAATTTGCCATACTTTTATTGGAAATAACCACCCGATAAATACTTTTAGGACAATATATCTTTAAACCCATACATAATTTCATTGCTGACTAGTTCCTTTAGGAACTGTCTCTGATAGAACAGACAGTTCCTAAAGGAACTAATTGCTGACAAGACAACACGCATGTA